CCCAGAGCAGTACATGTCCTGCACACACATGGGACAGTGCTGCTGCTCAGAGCACTCAACCAGAAGCCACTTCTTGCCTATAGACCAAGACGTATACTGCAGTGGCTGAGGGGAAAGCAATCCTCTGAGCAGTTGTGATTCACGCTCACCTTGGATGGCTGTTCTTCACCTCAGCCTGTGCCGGACCGCGTCAAGGTCACACACACTAAAATCACACACCTCATCAGGCTTTGCAGGGATTGAGCTGAGCTAGAGCTGAGGAATCGCCTACGCCAGAAGAACGCTACCATAGGAAAGCAACACCAGCATATAATTGAAATAATTTATTTACCACTAGAGCACCACAAAAACAGACATACAATGTGTTAAAATACAGAGTAATCGATCACCAAAGTACAACACAGCTGTCCTTTAAGTTCCTTTTTTTTTTCTCCTTTAAACCATGCCAACCACACAATTGTATTGATGCTAAACACATAAAAAATACTGTCCTACCCCACCCAGCTAAGTGCTAAGATTCCCCTTAGCCCCAGTCAACCCCTTGGGTCTGATCTTTCAAGGTGCTGAACATTTCCCACCAGGTCTCAGGGACTTTGCTCAGACAGTGGCAATTACCTCGTCGTGATAAGGCCTCTGGCACAAAGTCCTTGAGCTGTTGCAGACCCATCTAAACATCATTCGAGGGGGATTTACATCAGACCTGAGCGGTGCTTAGGACTCCCATTACCCCACTCTATAGAGGGGAATTTCACCCATGAGTTCTGCACATTGTAGGATCAGGCCTAACATCCTTGGTAATTAAAGGGCAATACATGCCTAATAAACAAACAAACAAACAAAAAATTGTAGGAGCTTTATAATAGAGTATTGCAAATACTATCAGTGCATTTTGAGGGAAAAAAAGTAAAAAAAAAAAGCATTCAATCTTGGGGTAGTGACTTACCAAAACAAGGTGTTATACTTAAATTTAGAGAAAAACTCCAAATCCAAACCAAAATTTTCAGCTGCGTCCAGCGCATAGTGAGTATAGTTGGACAACTACGCTACCTCCTATTCCACTTTTTCAAAGCTTCAAAACCAGTTTTGAGCTGCATTCCCATAGCAGAGAATTGCAAAAATGTTTTTAAGTTTTTTAAAATGTGTTCATCCTTGTCTCCTTTCCCATCCAACAAAAATACAGTTCTCATACTGAACCTGATAAAACTAATTTTGCTGCCGTACACAACAAAATTCAGAGTATTTACTACCCTGAGGAGTTTCACTGAGTTCAGTGCATCTTCTCACTGGAGTAAGTCTGGCTCAAGCAAGTGTTAGCAGGACAGATTTTTCACTTGTTCATCTCAACTCACTAAATAAATCAGAAGTCTAACATACCTCCTCCTCTGCGCTGAGTCAACGGGTGGGATTAGATCATCTGTGGGGCTATGTTTCCATCTAGGCAATAAGCACAGGCTCTACCGAAGTTCCGAGGAGCTGCGTGTGCAAGCCGCTGCGGTACTTCAGTTTTGCATCAGTGTTCTGCTGAAGCCAAAGAAATTGCACTTCTTAAAACTGGAGCTGACAACATCAAGCTCAGGAGCGTCCTCCCGACACCGCTTTCGGGTCAATGACAGAAAATGTCCTTCCCATCCAAGTAGTATGTTTTAATGCAGTTTTCCAGCTTTGCCATGCAAAACCATTCATCATGTGAAATGAACTGAATGCGCCTTCATGATTTTTTTGCTAATTTAGGTTGGGTCTTTTTTTAAATGAAGAGTATGATGTGGTGGTTTTTTTTTTTTTTTTACTCCCTCTACAATATTTAAACATGTGTAACAACAACAAAATCCTAGGAACCCCACGTTCCTTTTTCCTTTCCTTTTTTTAAAAGAAGCTTTAATGTGAACTCAATTAGAAAGGAATTGGCAAACTCTCAAAAATCAAGGGTCTGATCCTGCTAATCTTTACACACACCCCCCAATAGCCTAAAGGGGCCTGCCGTGCCACTGCAGAAGTTAAAGGCAAACCTCTGTTACCTGCAGTAGAAGCAGGATCGGTCCCACGGACTAACTGCGGGGGCAAGTCCCCGCTGCGTGCGAGGCCGACGCACGGCCTCTGGCTGCAAAGCGATCCCGCTCATGCCCCACTCGGGGCATCGCCCTGGCAGACGCTTCCTACCAGCCTTCTGCACAGTGGTGAATGTCATTCTCTGCAAGGGTTTGCCTCGCCACGGCCAGGCTGGGACATCTCTTCTTGCAACACCTCGCTCCCTGACCATCTGTTTGAATGTCTATAGCCAAAAGGAAATAAAAAGGTCTAGGAATCCAAACCGCATCGCGATTCAAGTGTTACAAATGGGGACAACTTGGGGAGGGGGGGGGA